AGATTTACACAAGCTTAAATTGAAGAAAGTTTTGACTTTGAAATAGATGGAATGGCTTTGCATTGTAGAAATTTGTTGTGAGATCTTTGTTTACTAGAACTTAGGTTACGTTTAATCTCTAAGCTTCGTTTCATTGCAGAATTGCGAATATGCATGGTGTTTATTGACATCAAAATACAAACTTCTCTACAGACAAACCTAGCCTACTATTGTATGAGCGTAGATACAGATTGGATTTACGAGTATCTCGCTGATCTATCGCCCATTGTTCGTGTAACGGTACCGCGTGTAGGACTCGGTGGCTTATGACGGGACGATGTAGCGCGCCGGCTGTACACGATCGGGTATTATATGTTTACGTTTAAATAACAAAACAAGGTGTGTCTTCATGGTGAAAATTAGAAGTAAAATGGTTAAGAAAAATTATGTTAGATAGGTAAGTAAATTATATTGGAAGAAAAAAATAATTGTATAACCGACTTCAATATAAATTATTAAGAATAACTCAAAAACTATTGCTCTGACCTTTATCATATGGGGCCACATGTGAAGTACCAGCTTTCAAATAAAAAAAGAATCATCGAAATCGGTTCATACAGTAAAAAGTAATGAGGTAACACAAAAAAACATACAGTCGAAATGAGTACCGGCTCCTTTTTGAAGTCGGGAGAAAACAAGTTGTGTCTACTACATGGTGGAAATTAGAAGTAATATGGTTGAGGAAAATTATTTCGAAAATAGAGACACATAAACTATGAGCCGATAGGAATAATCTAATAAATAAAATGATTTGGTAGGTAGGTTTGCAGTTGTGCGCATATCACGGAAAAACTACTTTTATTTTTTAAACACTTGGCCCTTATCTAAAAAAAATTGCGATATCTTCATTTAATATAAATTTAAAGTTTTAAAAAACAACGACTTTTATAAGCACTACGTGTCCAGTGGTGTGTGTATTATTTGTTAATATATCAAGCAACGTAGACTAAGTCGCAGGTACCAGATAGTTAGAAATATATCAAGTCCACAAGGCTTGTAAACACGATAACCTTTGAAAATATCAATTGTTCAACTCAATATATGTTTAAAACTCTTCATTTATCATGTGATAAGCCATTGAATGTAAATGGCAGTTTAATTTTGTTTAGTTTAGTTATAATAAATTTTTTTCGGCTGCGAAATGGCGAAATTTTCGGTGTTTGAGCAGCCTTGCGTGAAATAATTTTAGTAAGTACTGTCTCACTCGGTTATAGGGATGGGCAAGGGAAAAAATATATCGATATATATCGAATCTATATTTTAAACAGTATCAATATATCGATATATCGTCATCATTTGCATGATGTAAAGATAGGGTCTAAAATTTTATTTACTGATGGTTGGACGACGAAAAACACGATACAATATTTTAAAATATATCGAAATTGATACGAATTCAATACTCTAAAATAAATATCGATATGTCGATATATCGCAATTTAAAATATCGACAATATATATATCGATATTTTTATTAAAAAGTATCGATATTTCGATATATCGATATTATTTGCCCAAGCCTATTCGGTTAGTACGGCGTCAACCGGCGTTGTGAGTGGATACTGTATTGGTTGTTTGCAGTGGCTCAAAAAGATACCTGTACAAATAAATACAAAATATTCGAAAAACAAATTTCTTACTACTCGTATTTTAGATTACTTGATTATTATAATAATCAGATATTTTTATTACAATATTTTAAAAGCACATAATAAATAATAGTAGTACGTACTAAAAGTAAGTAGAATGTAATATTTAATCTTAAATACGTCTTGGACTTTATGGAGTGACATGACTGATGATATGATAATCATATGAGCATTATGAGTCGTGCACTTTTGGATTTTCCAAACTTTTTTCAAATTGAAATTTGACATAAAATTATCGAAAAATTGGAAGTATAATAAGGTTATTAGTGAAAACTTGTGTGTATTTAAACTACTTTAAAAAAGTTCCGTATAATCATGTTATACGTAATTTTTTTAATGCGATTAGGTCATGCCCAATTGGATTTACCAATAGTTTATATTTTAATAAATGATCGCATATTAAAACACCATTATTTTACAATCATTAGCCCACAACATTATTTTCTAAGTCAGTAAATGAAATAATAGAATTTACTTAGAAGAAAGAAATAGTATATTTAATTTTGATTAGAAATAATGAGATTCGAACACTTGCTTCTGAAATTGTTTTCAATGTATACTTAAGGTGTTTAAAGTTTCATCTTTTACATTTGATCGGATTTTGCTGCATGTGTATAGCCAGCAGCTGAAAATGCGCGTTCAGAATCCACGCTAGTAGGTGGAACGGACTTAACAAAGTTGTAAGTTGCTTCCAGATACTTTTCCCTCTGTTTCCTCCACATTCAAAAAGACTCATTTCTCGTTTTATTATAAGATTAAGTGATACCGCCGTCTGTTGAGTAGTTGAAGATGGTGTCCCCGCCCCGTACAGAGAGAAATTTCCATTCACTCGTCACTCGACTCACACACAGATACGTACTTCGATTTGGGGATCCCCTATTATCGTGCATTCGTGCCGTACATGATTTTATGCGAATTCAGGCTCGAAAAAAATAAAATCTTGCAAATCTTGCGGATCCTGCAAGTGTTACCCCGCTTTTGTAATCTCGCTAATTTTACGGATCCCGCATTTGCGAGATTGCGGATCCGCGGGATTGCATTCCCTAGTAGGGAGGATTTAATTATCATGCTCGACAAGCGGGAAATACATTCAATACCCGAGAGGTTCAGCTGATTTCTTCAAGAAGGGCATCAATATACTGCTATTGCGTTGGCAAAGATGCATTCATTGCATGGGTGATTACTTTGATTAGCTTATTTCATAAAAAAAACGGCATTTCATAGGTAAATACCTAATATTATAAGTATGTGAACTGTGTAATTTTTTTATTTATCTTGTCATAAGGTGCAGTCAAATAAATAACTTTAAAAGCAAGAACAGTACGCCGACAAAATGAAAGTATAATTAGCCGTATCAAGATAAGGCTTGTAAGATAATCCAGTGCGACAGTAATAAGCGATCGTCCACGGCGGTGCGGCATGAAATTGGATCTGTTCAGTGAGCCCGCTCCAGTTCGCGCAGATCTCAGAGCCGCGCAGACCGCAGTCCCACGACACTGCCCGAAGGTTTCCAGCCAACCGAGTGTGAGCAACCGATAGACATGACTCAATCGAAATACTGGCCTAACATACCTTACAGCGTATTTTACACACAAAATCTAGTTATTGTAAATTACAAAGGTATTGTTATGTTTTAAATAAAGATGTTGTATATAATATATCAGAACATGGTTATACTTTCCCTGCGTACATTGCACTTTTCTGGACCGATTCGACTTAGAGACCTCAAGAAAAAAGTCTACTCCTTTTGAATAGGCTCTTTTCTTGCTTGATCAGGTAAGCCGCATGCTCGTTTGCCCCCACTTATATAAAAAAATTGAATTCTTGTAGACTTTGAGTACAATTTTTTTCATAGGGATAAGAGTGACAAGCGAGCACACAGTCCACCTAATCGTAAATGGTTGCTGTGGCCTATAGGCATCTACATATATCTTTGTTTGCGAATCAAAATGCAGATGCGTAGTCAGCCGTGAGGACTAAGATGAAATGCCTCTTTTCCAGTAAAATTGGTCTCCGGTTCTCTAAACTCACCATACGAAAGACAGCAGTGTTAAGCTGCTATTTTACGCTGGTATTTTGTGAGAGCGTGGTTCTTCCCCGGTGGAGCCGACCCATTCGTGCTACAACTATACTACTACTAATATAGCTGCAGCATGGCTCTACCACGTTAAGCTTAGAACGGTAATAGGAAACTGTTCTGGTCATTCTTCCTTATGCATTAAATTATGTAAGAATGAAAGAGAAAGTTCCTTTGTTTGCGAATAAAAATTATTTAGCTATGACATTACATTTATTACCTAGTTCAGGCAGGTAGCTAATATTATAAACTTGACTTTTCTATTTTTCTTTTGTAGATTCTTCATTATTAAGCTACACATAGTTTTAATTTTATCATAGCATGTTATTTTTGTTAGACTTATTGTTACTATATTAATTGTAATCATATTTGTTCCTGTATGTAAACATGTGTAATTGGAAATGACATAAATATTTATTATTAATTTTTATTATATATATTTTGGAATTTGGAAGTAAGCAGAGGATATCGGTGATGTGATATGTGTCAAGAAGGACATTCATCATTATGATCACAAAATTATCAAAATATGCTCTAATGAAATTCAAAGAACTAATAAAATGGAAAAAGGAAATGTTTTAGGAAATAACAAAGTAATAGTTAATTTATCGAATACTCTTATTTTAAGTAATTATTACTGGTAGAAGATTAATAGCCGGCGATTCGTTTAATCGAAAACCTCGCATAACAATTAATTTTTACAATTTATTTAATAATTATTTGAATATATTTTTTGTGAAATTTTATAAATAGATAAAACATTGTATGACTGCATCCGGCCTGAGCGTCTTTATCGTTTCCGGCTATGCGAAATTAGAATGAGACGATTTGTGAAACTAGACAAGAGGCAAAAGGCGGTAGATCAGAGTACCTATATGAAACCTTAAGTTTTAACAGTAGGTCACAATCGCCGGCGCTCGAAAGTGCAGGACGTATTTGTAAAACTATAGTGTTACGCTGAACTTATATTGTTCATTCGATATGGTGTAAGTAAGCAAGAGAGTATCGTCGTTGGAATTTCAAAAGACTTTTTTCAATAATTATTTTTCTAAGCCTGCGCTTAACTTCAATCCCACCTGATGGTAAGTGGTGCTGTAGCCTAAAATGGTGAAGCGCACTGACTTAACAAAAACGACTCCATAAATTATTATCAGATGCCATATGAGGAAGGCATTCATTTAAGTTCTTTGATGAAACTAGTAAGCAAAAATGAACATCGTCAAATCATAACTTACCCTATGACTCCTCGAGGCCTTGGGGTCGAGGTACGTCCGCAGCTTGTTGAGGTAGTGTGCCGGTGAGTCCTTCGCTTGCACCATGTCTTGATCGCAGATGATCTCCCACTTCTTTTCCAGGTCATAGTTGCGCAGTAGTTTGGCTTTATCGGGGGGAAGGTCCATAGATGCCTGTAAAAGAAGCAAATGATTTATTAGTGTTAAGACCACTGCTGGATACACAAATTTGTACATAAAACAATTTTTTGCATTCAAAAAAAAATTGATGCAAATGTGTGTGGTACGTGTTGTCAAATCAAATAGTACAATAATACACGACTATTTCTGCCACCAGGGCGGCGCCACTTAAAAGTGAGGTATAATATTTGACAGATTATACCTCACTTTTAAGTGGTTAGTGGGGAAGTTTATTTGTTTGGAAAATGTAAAGGTTAATGTTTTTTTCTGTACTATTAGGTATTAGCCAATAAAACATAAATAAACGAAAGCACAGATATTCAAAAAAGTAGAAAAAATTACAAAAAGGTAAAAATGGGCAAAAAATTAAAGAGAAAACCATTAAAGCATTGTTTTGTGAATTAATATAATACTCTAGAAACTGATAAACTATTTTTTTTTTTTTTTTTTTTTTTTTTTTATAGGAGAGGGGGCAAACGAGCATGCGGCTCACCTGATGGTAAGTGACTACCGCCGCCCATGAACAACCGCAACACCAGGGGAATTGCAGATGCGTTGCCGGCCTTTTAAAAAGGAGTAGGCTCTTTTCTTGAAGGTCCCTAAGTCGTATCGGTCCGGAAAAATCCCTGGTGGTAAACTATTCCACAAGGAAGTTGTGCGAGGAAGAAAACATCTTCTAAATCGCACAGTGGTGGACCGCCAATCATCCAGATGGTGTGGATGGTATCGGGAGTTCTGCCGCGATGTGCGTTCGTGAAATTTGGCTTAAAATTATTAAAAACTAACTTCTCGATTAAATGACATTGTGTATCAAAAAAGTTTACCTCAGTGTCAACAAACAAAGTGACATTTGGTGAGTAGAAAATTATTAGCCCTCATTAGGTGAGCATAGTTTTGGCTTGGTTTCGGCAACACTTAAGACGTACGCATCGCTCCGTTTATTTTTTGTTGGTTTAAGCGTAATGGACACAAATGAAATATGCAAAAAGTAAATTAAGATTCTATTGACCAGGAACCATAAATAAACGACGGGCGCAAGCGTGGTTATTTTTTTGCGTTCACCCACCGAGCTAACATGCATATCTTAACGACGATCGGTGCCTACTGGACCAGTTTCCGACATTGGCCCAGCGAGCCTGCTAACGGTAAACAAATCCATACAGCCTAGGGTTACCGATGCACCCAAGAGCCTTAAAAGCTATCGCGCATTATTGGCTGAGATATGAATTTCAATTTTGAAAATGGAATTTTTCTAAAAGGTGCTGTCTAGGTGGTAATACTTCTATTCTGCCTAGAAGTCCGTCTGGGTTTGTGCCACCCTCTTACGTATTTCTGCCACTTTGGTATTTGCACTGATGTTTCGCTGTGAAGAGTATGGAGGCCCAGCATTATTACAGGCTGTGAGGAAAACCATCTTAGTCCTCAGAGATGACATCTGTAATTTTGTTTGTTTGGCTGCTGGTGTACATACTGCTACTGCTACTCAGCATCAGGTGAACTGTAAGTTCGTTTGTCACTTCAGTTTTATAAAATAATGTGCAAATACTATTTTGTTTTGTTACGGGATTCAAAATAAAAAAAGAAAAAATTGAATAGTATGCAAAATAATGTTTTCTTAAGTTAACAGTCTTTCATTAAAATATAGTTTAAAGTTGAAGGGTGCAATGGTGTACAGCATTTTTAATTTCCATGAATTAAGATACTTTTATAATTATCATATCATCATCTTTACAACCGAAGTCCACTTGTAAACATAAGCCTTAACCATAACTCGCCCGAAGTGAAACAATTGCATTTATATTTGGCAGGCGTGTTCGCAAACACAGATTTTTATTTTTTTGAATTGTTATTAAGAAGATGCTGCTGCCTATCTCCTGTTTCCAATTTTCTCTTTATATCCTTTTACGACAACCACAGGATGATATGGGGTAGTGGATATTCTTCTACGCTGCCACTTCACAGCGTTAGAGATGTTATTTTATATTATATAACTGGATTCAAGTAAAACTTTATGTAATGGTGTTTGATGAGTTATAAAATTAAAGATTAACAAGCATTTAGAGCAATAATTTCAAGTAGGTAACATGTATCGCTAACCACTGAGATTTACTGCTCGTGTTAGATATTGTACTATAGTCGTCGAATGACGAAATCGAACCTGTGACGGAAAGTTAAGTAGAACGTTTGAATTATTCATAGAAATCGTATGTGACAACATCTCTTCTTATTTAAACTGTATTGAAAGAATACACCATACTCGTGTACATATTGAATGAACAAGTTAACTTAAATAATTTGTGTCGAATTTCGATCACGGTAACCAATTTCAAAGGAGACTTATCATTATTATTATTAACGCAGGACAGTGGCTTATATTTCCTTACATTTTGATTATATAAGTATGTCTAATATGTAAGTACGGGCATCAGCTTCATGACTCTGCCTACACTTTCAATCCTAAAAATACAGGAATCCGCAAGTCCACTATTTAGCCCCCTGTACAGTTCGCCTTAGGTCCCATCTATTAAAATTCGTGTTTATCATATTTTAGTGTGCACCAGTCACTTTTATATTTCATCACCATCATCGTGATTATTAAAGCCTGCAAAAGTACACTGTTCAACTCAGGCCTCTCCCATAAATTACCTCGAGTTGGCGACAATTTTTTATTTGACTTATTATGAGGAAAATGCTGTTGCTCATACGAGTATCATGTTTCTGTTTCCTTCTATAGCCTCCTACAGAACGATATTCTTTACCTTTTCTTTAAAAAACGTTACCACCACAATAGGATTTTCTCCTGTATCGTGGACAGTTTACAATACTGATGTTTGGATAGCAATTTCGTGATGTGTGATTAGGTCATACATTTACTACTAAAAACCTATATTCCGACAGACACTTTGTAAGGATGATACAGTTCGCAAGAGCGCTCTACTTGAAGCATTGTCCTGAGTTGAAAGTAGCTGGCAGCAGTCCAACACACGTCGTGGTTAGATAATACATGCTTTGAAAGTGTATCGAGCACTCGAGAATACACGCAAACGTGGTTTTACCGTTCATGTTTCGAGTATTATTGTTTAGTTCTTCACTATAAGACATTTCTAATTATGAAACAGCTGAATATTTGATTTACTTATTTCGTCATCATCATTACAGACCTTCACAAGTCTACTTACTGCTGAACATAAGCCTCCCTCAAGGAATGTCACAATACACGGTCCTGAGCCACCTGTATGTCTTAACAGGTCGTCATAGAGGAGCGCCGAACTACATTTCGTCCACCAGTATGAGGCTGCCACTTGAGAACCTCACTTCCCCATAGTTGGTCGGTTTTTCGAGCTATATGGCCGGCCCATTGTCACTTTAGTTTTTAAGTTTTGAGGTATACCTGACGAGAAAATGTGTCGTAATCTCCCGGACGCTGCCCAGCCGAGTTGAATTCGTCGATTGACCTCTCGGTCGAAGTTGGACTTACCTGGTCGGACTATTTGTCCTAAGTAAACATACTCGTAGACAACTGCAAGCTTAGTGCTCCCAACAACTACCGACATAGGCGTGAAATGGACATTATATATGATCTTTGTTTTGTCCATTTTCATCTTAAGACCTATCCTTTGGGAGACACTATTGAGGTCATTGAGAATAGTGCTTATGTGCACCAGTAATTCCGCTATAAGGACTATATCGTCGGTTTATCAAAGGTGAGTATCCTTTCCAGTCTAGTAGCTTGAAAATGTCTTCCAATGCAGCGATGAAGTTTCGGGGATACAACGTCATCCTGTCTTACACCTTTCTGCAGTTGGTTAGGTTTCGAAATCTGGTTCTGTACTCGGATAGCCATCCTAGCCCTACTGTAGAAACACTTCAGCACTTCGATATATGGACAGTCAAAGTCACACCGCTGAAGGGACTGTACACCGCCCAAATTTCGACGGAATCAAAAGCTTTAAGTATTAACTGATTTACTCATACTTGATTGGTTTATCTTTATCACATATCTATACAAATAAATAAAATTGAAGTATCTGTTTGTAATGTTAAAATAATAGCTTACGGTACTTATAACAAAATACACTTTTTAAAATTTTTGTCTGTCTGTCTGTCTGTTTGTTCCGGCTAATCTCCGAAACGGCTGGACCGATTTTGACGGGACTCTCACTGGCAGATAGCTAATGTTATAAGGAGTAACTTAGGATAATTTTATTTTAGAAAAAGAATCAGGCTTCCGAGCAGAAAAATTAAAACCTATGAAATCGTAGTAAATTCCACGCGGGCAAAGTTGCAAGGGACAGCTAGTCTATACAAATAAATAAAATTGAAGTGTCTTTTTGTAATGTCAAAATTACCATTTTTTACTAAATGTACATGAAATTAAATACAGTACCTACCTATAACTAAAATACAATTTTAAAATTTTTGTCTGTCTGTCTGTTTGTTCCGGCTAATCTCCGAAACGGCTGGACCGATTTTGACGGGACTCTCACTGGCAGATAGTTAATTTCTTAAGGAGTAACTTAGGCTACTTTTATTTTAGAAAAATAATTAGGGTTCCGCGCAAAAACATAAAAACCCTTACACGCGAGCGAATTCGCAGGGAACAGCTAGTCAGTATATAAAAGTCCACAGCTGAGAATGGGCAATTTCCATTGTAAGGAGGATTTGTCTTAATTATGACGATTAGCAAGCGGATCGAAGATAACAGTACCACGTTTGAAGCTGCTTCCCTTCGCCGATCTAGGTATTTACGCCTGGCGTAATAGATATGGTTATATCACTCTATTGAAAGATATTAGATCTTTTTGGCTATCGCATAATCGTCCGTTACGGCACCCATGCGACAAAATAGGGTGATTGATTTTTAGGGCGCCTTTTAAAATGCAGATTTTTTTTCCTTAGATCAAACTTTTCATAAAATATTAGTGTTTTTTAACTTTCTAACCAGGCTCTGTCGAAATGAATTTTGATTTAATTTTAAGTAGAACGCGTTATCG